AAAAAAAAAAAAAAAAAAAAAAAAAATCTTTTTAAAATAATTAATTAATTCATTAATTATTTAAAGACAGATTCTTGCTCTGTCACCCAGGCTGATTGTAGTGGCATGATCTCAGTTCACTGCAACCTCCGCCTCCTTAGTTCAAGCTATTCTCCTGCCTCAGCCTCCCAGGTAGCTGGGACTATAGACACACACCACACCCAGCTAATTTTTGTATTTTTAGTAAAGATGAGGTTTCACTATGTTAGCCAGGCTGGTCTGGAACTCCTGACGTCAGGTAATCCACCCACCTTCTCTCAAAGTGCTGGGATTACAGGCATGAGCCACCACACCCAGCCAAAGAAATTTTTTATTAATTCAATGTTAAGAAAAAAGCCTTATGCTCTGGTTTCTCTTCATAACGAATAAATCTTTCAAAAAAAAAAAAAGAAAAAAGCCTTGTACTTCCTCTGAAACAATTGATAGACTTATTCCTCTATAGTAATAAAAATTATGTAGCTGACCATATTTTGCTGACTTTAAGGAAGCTCAAGACCAAATTTTCAAGATCTGTCGCAGCAGCTATCTTGACATTTATGACTTATTTTTAGGTCTTCTATGTATGCTTTATTATTTCATTTTATATACTTCTTGTTAAAAGTGTCCTCATAAGTCTTTATGGAAAGAAACAAGACATAATTATTTTATAAACAAGCAGGAAATTTAGGGTGGGAATTAGGTTTGATTCAACCAAACTAGCCATTTGAAAAATTATTATTATTTTATGTTAGTTCTAATAGTGCCTTTTACATTATTTCTTATTTTGTACTCTTTAAAATGTTTTCTTTCAGAGTGGGCTCCACCTCAACCAGAATATTTATATCAACCTACAGGAAATGAAAAGGTACCAGAGATTGTAGGAGAGGAAAAAGGAACAGTTGTCTATCAATTAGATTCAGGTATTGTCATTACGCTGAACACTGAGTGGTTAATCATGACAAAGTTATAATAAACATATTTTCCATAATAAAAATTAAAAATCCATGGTTTAGTGATAAACTCATTTCCAGGCCAACCTGAGTGGGAGCCTGGAGGAGGAGTCATAACTAGTCTGCTGTAAAATTTCGATAATTTTCTAAAATCAAAGTACATTATTCTTAATAGTTCTAAGTCCATTTGACAGCTTCTCCCTTGTTATTCTCCTTCCTGAAAATCAGATGTTGAATCATCTTTGGGGAGATTATTCTTCTTTTCTCCACCTCCTGAATGTACTTTAGTGAGTACTTTGTTCTGTGTGCATATGACTGTCATTTAGTAATTTGGTTTCCTGCATTGAGTTTTAAGCTTCTAGGGGTTGACTATATGTCTTTTATAGAAATATGCGGAACAGCATACCCAACAACAACAAAATACACACTTTTCTTTTCACCAGTCCTACTGAAGTCACACACCTTTTTTTTTTTTTTTTTTTTTTTGAGTCTCACTCTGTTGCCCAGGCTGGAGTGTAGCAGTGTGATCTCGGTTCACTGCAACCTCCACCTCCAGGGTTCAAGCGATTCTCCTGCCTTGGCCTCCTGAGTAGCTGGGATTACAGGTGCCTGCCACCACACCTGGCTAATTTTTGTGTTTTTTTTTTAGTAGAGACAGGGTTTCAACCATGTTGGCCAGGCTGGTCTTAAACTCATGACGTCAGGTAATCTGCCTGCATCAGCCTCCCAAACTGCTGGGATTACAGGTGTGAGCCACTACGCCTGGCCCTGAAGTCATACACATTCTTTTTAAGGGCACCTGTTCAATTCCCGAGGATAAACCATATGCTAGGCCATAAAGCAAGTCTTCATACCTGTAAAAGTATTAAAATCATACAAATTCTCTGACCAAATAAAATTAAGCTAGAAATCAACAACAGAATGAAATCTGAGATATCCACAAATATTTGGAAACTGAATAACACCTTTCTAAATAGCCTGTGGGTTAAAGAAATCACAAGTAGACTTCAAAAATATTTTGAATGTAGCAAAAATAAAACCACAACATATCAAAAGTCATAGGATGCAAAAACAAAATCAACCAGTGCGAGGGATATTTATGGGTATTTATGGCTTTCAGTGCCTATATTTTAAAACAAAAAAGGCTTATCAATTACTTAAGCTTCTACCTTAGTAAACTGGAAAAATAAGAGCCAACCAAACCCAAAACAAGCAGAAGGAAGGTAGAAAGAAAGAATTCTTTCTTTAATTAGAAAGAATGTAGGGCCTGGCATGGTGGCTCACACCTGTAATCCCAGCACTTTGGGAGGCCAAGGCGGGCAGATCACAAGGTCAGGAGATCAAGAGCATCCTGGCTAACATGGTGAAACTCCATCTCTACTAAAAATACAAAAATTAGCCAGATGTGGTGGCACGTGCCTGTAGTCCCACCTACTCTCGAGGCTGAGGCAAGAGAATCGCTCTCACCTGGGAGGCGGAGGTTGCAGTGAGCCGAGATTGTGCCACTGCACTCCAGCCTGAACCACAGAGTAAGACCCCATCTCAAAATAAAATAAAATAGGAATGTAGGCCTGGCGCGGTGGCTTACACCTATAATCCCAGTACTTTGGGAGGCTGAGGCAAGTGGATCACCTGAGGTCAGGAGTTCAAGACCAGCCTGGGCAACATGGTGAAATCCTGTCTCTACTAAAAATACAAAATTTTGCCAGGCCTGGTGGTGTGCGCTTGTAATGCCAGCTACTCAAGAGGCTGAGGCAGCAGAATCGCTTTAACCTAGGAGGCAGAGGTTACAGTGAGCCGAAATTGTTCCACTACACTCCAGCATGGGTGACAGAGTGAGACTCCATCTCAAAAAAAAAAAACAAAACCCAGGCCCAGGCCCAAATGACTTGACAAGGTTTGTCTGAATTCTGTTTTTTTTTTTGTCAGGATCTCACTCACTCTGGAGTGCAGTGACAGGATCTGGACTCACCACAACCTCCACCTTCTGGGTTCAGGCAATTCTCGTGGCTCAGCATCCAGAGTATCTGGGATTATAGGTATGTGCCACCATGCCCAGCTAATTTTTTTTTTTTTTTTGTATTTTTAGTACAGGCACAGTTTTACCATGTTGGCCAGGCTAGTCTCAAACTTCTGGCCTCAAGTGATCTACCTCCCTCAGCCTCCCACAGTACTGGGCTTAACCACACCTGGCTGGTTTGTTTGAATTCTGTTAAACATTTAAACATTTAAAGATGAAATAATACCAATATTACCTATATTGGTAATAATAATATTACCAATTAATAATAATGCCAACAATACCAATATTTCACCAACTCTGAAAACAGAAGAGGAAAGAATGTTTCCCAACTCTTTTTTTAAATGTTTAGACAGGTCTGCCTCTGTCACCCAGGCAGGGGTGCAGTGGAATAAACATGGCTCATTGTAGCCTCCACCTTCCAGGCTCAAGTGAATAGTCCCATCTCAGCCTCCTGAGTAGCTGGGGCTACAGGCGTGTACCACCATGCCCGGCTAATTGTTTGTATTTTTAGTAGAGAATGGGTTTGACCATTGCCCAGGCTGGTCTCAAATTCCTGTGCTCAAGCAATTTACCCACTTCGACCTCCCAAAGTGCTAGGATTACAGGCATGAACCACCATGCCTGTCTCCCCAACTCTGTTTTTTATTTTTATTTATTTTTTTTGAGACGGAGTTTCACTTTTGTCACCCAGGCTGGAGTGCAGTGGCACGATCTCAGCTCACTGCAACCTCCACCTCCTGGGGTCAAGCAATTCTCCTGCCTCTGCATCTCAAGTGGCTGGGATTACAGGCTCACACTACCATGCCCAGATAATTTTTTTGTATCTTTAGTAGAGATAGGGTTTCACTATGTTGGCCAGGCTGGTCTTGAACTACTGACTTCATGATCCGCCCACGTTGGCCTCCCGAAGTGCTGGGATTATAGGCATGAGCCACCACGCCCAGCCACTGCTGAAAGAAATTAAAGACCTAGATAAATGGAAAAGCATTCCATGTTCATGGGTTAGAATTTGTTTTGTTTTGTTTTTTTAATTTTCCCACAAGATTTAGAATTGATAGAATTTTTTTTTAATTAATTTTTTTTGAGACAGAGTTTTGCTCTTGTCACCGAGGCTGGAGTGCAATGGCGCGGTTTCGGCTCACTGCAACCTCCTTCTCCAGGTTCAAGCAATTCTCCTGCCTCAACCTCCCGAGTAGCTGGGATTACAGGCGTCCACCACCATGCCTAGCTAATTTTTGTATTTTTAGTAGAGACGGTGTTTTATCATGTTGGCCAGGCTGTTATCGAACTCCTGACCTCAGGTGATCCACTTGCCTCAGCCTTCCAAAATGCTGGGATTACAGGCGTGAGCCGCCACACCTGGCCAAGAATATTTAACTTTGTTGAGATGGCAATATTACCTGAAAATCTACAGATTAAAATGCAGTCCCTATCCAAATTCTTTTTTTTAAATTCTTTGTCTTTATCTTTTTTTTTTTTTTTTTTTTGAGACAGGGTCTTTCTTTGTCATCTAGGCTAGAGTGCAGTGGCGCAAACATGGCTCACTGCAGCCTCGACTCCTCAGGCTCAGGGATCCTCCTGCCTCAGCCTCCTGAGTAGCTAGGACTACAGGTGTTTGCCACCATGCCTGGCGTTTTTGTTGTTGTTGTTGTTGTTTGTTTGTTTGTTTTTAATTCTGTGGAGACAGGGTCTTGCTGTTTCCCAGGTGGTCTTGAACTCCTGGCCTCAAGTTTCAAGTGATCCTCCTGCACTGACCTCCCAAAGTAGTGAGATTACAGGCATGAGCCACCATGCCCAGACCCTATCTAAATTCTAATGGCCCTAAAAGAGCAACTTCCAAAAAGCTTTTATGCAGAAATTGAAAAGCTTATTCTCAAATTTATATGGAATTGTAAAGGGCCCTGAATAGCCAATACAGAAAAAGAAGTACAAAATTGGAATACTCACATTTTTAAATTTCAAAACACTACAAACATACAGGAATCCAAACAGTATAATCCTGGCATAGGGGTAGGCATATAGATCACTGAAATATAACTGAGAGTCCAAAAATAAACTCATATATTTTTGGTCAATTCATTTTTGACAAGGGTGCCAAGACTGTTCACTGGGGAAAGAATGGTCTCTTTAACAAATAGTGTTGGGATAACTGTATAGCCACACTCAAAAGAATGAAGTTGAATCCCTTCTTCATACCATATTTAAAAATTAACCTGGCCAGGCCTAGTGGCTCACACCTGTAATCCCAGCACTATGGGAGGCCAAGGCAGGCAGATCACCTGAGATCAGGAGTTTGAGACCACCCCAACCAACATGGAGAAATCCCTTCTCTACCAAAAATGCAAAAATTATCCAGGTGTGGTGGCACGTGCCTGTAGTCCCAGCTACTCAGGAGGCTGAGGCAGGAGAATCACTTGAACCCAGGAGGTAGAGGTTGCAGTGAGCCAAGATCGTGCAAACTGGCAACAGAGCATGACTCTGTCTCAAAAAATAACAAACAGATAGGGTGTTGCTCTGCTACACAGGCTAGAGTACAGTGGTGGATCATAGCTTATTGTATCCTCAAACTCCTGGGCTCAAGGGATCATCTTGCTTCAGCCTCCTGAATAGCTAAGACTATAGTTCCTGTGCCACCATGCGTGGCTAATTTTTAAATTTGTTGGTAGAGATAGGGTCTCACCATTATGCCCAGGCTGGTCTTGAACTCTTGGCCTCAAGCATTCCTCCTGCCTCAGCCTCTCAAAGTGTTGGGATTATAGGCATGAGCCACCATGCCTGGCCTCCACATCCTTTTATTTTTTAATTTTTTATGTATTTATTAATTTTTTGAGATAGAGTCTCGCTCTGTTGCCAGGCCGGATTGCAGTGTTGCAATCAAGGCTCACTGCAGCCTCCACCTCTGGGTTGAAGTGATTTTCCTGCCTCAGGCTCCCGAGTAGCTGGGATTACACGATGCACCATCAGCTAATTTTTGTATTTTTAGTAGAGATGGGGTTTCACCATGTTGGCCAGGATGGTCTCGATCTCTTGACCTTATGATCCACCTGCCTTGGCCTCCCAAAGTGCTGGAATTACAGGCACGAGCCACCGCGCCCGGCCAACATCCTTTTAAATGAGGGTTTATTTATTTCTTTGTTTTCTTTTCTCTCTTTTTTTTTGTTTGTTTGTTTTTTGAATCAGAGTCTCACTTTGTCACCCAGGTTGGAGCTCAGCGGCACATTCTCAGCCTGTCACAACTTTCACCTCCCAGGCTCAAGCGATTCTTCTGCTTCAGCCTCCTGAGTATCTAGGATTACAGGTGTGTGCCACCATGCCTTGCTAATTTGGTATTTTTAGTAGAGACAGGGTTTTACCATGTTGGCCAGGTTGGTCTCGAACTCCTGACCTCAAATGATCCATTCACCTCGGCCTCCCAAAGTGCTGGGATTACAGCATGAGCCACCATGCCCAGCCCTTTGTTTTCTTTTCTTTTCTTTTCTTTTTTTTTTTGACAGGATCTCACTCTGTTGCTCAGGCTGGAGTGCAGTGACATGATCTCACCTCACTGCAACCTCCGCCTCTCAGGTTAAAGAGATCCTCCTACCTCAGTGTCCCAGGTAGCTGGGACCACAGGCGTGTGCCACCACACCCGGCCAATTTTTCATATTTTTAGTAGAGACAGGGTTTTACTATGGTGCCTAGGCTGGTCTCAAACTCCTGAGCTTGTGATCTGCCTGCCTGGGCCCCCAAATTGCTGGGATTACAGGCATGAACCACCATGCCCAGCCTCTTAAATTAGCGTTTAGATGGGCACAAGCAGTATCTGAAATGCTGAGGGTTGCTGTGAAGCAAAAGGAAGTGCTTTGGGCCAGGCGCAGTGGCTCACGCCTGTAATCCCAACACTTTGGGAGGACGAGGTGGGCAGATCTCCTGAGGTCAGGAGTTTAAGACCAGCCTGGCCAACATGGCAAACCCCGTCTCTACTAAAAATACAAAAATTAGCTGCGTGTGGTGGCACAAGCCTGTAGTCCCAGCTACTTGGGAGGCTGAGGCAGGAGAATTGCTTGAGCCTGGGAGGCAGAGGTTGCAGTGAGTGGAGATCGTGCCACTGCACTCCATCACTCCATCCTGGGAGGCAGAGTGAAACTTGGTCTCAAAAAAAAAAAAAGAAGAAGAAGTGCTTTAAAAACACCTAAGGACTTCAAAGAAATATTTTTTTTTGGTGTGGGGACCAAGTCTCACACTTGTCGCCCAGGCTGGAGTGCAATGGCATAATCTCGGCTCACTGCAACCTCTGCCTCCCAGGTTCAAGCGATTCTCCTGCCTCAGCCTCCCAAGTAGCTGGGACTACAGGCTTGTGCCACCATGCTCAGCTAATTTTTATATTTTTAGTAGAGATGGGGCTTCTTAAACTCCTGACCTCAGGTGATCCACCTATTTTGGCCTCCCAAAGTGCTGGGATTACAGGCGTGAGCCACTGTGCCCGACCAAGAAATACTTACTGAAAATTAAAAGTCTCCACAAAGATAGTTGAAAATCAGAAAATTCACTGTTGTTAATCTGGAATAGTGTTGTCCACATAGAGGGGCTCAGTAAGTATTTGCTGAATGAGTAGATTCTGAGTAGAACCTAGCCTAAATATGTCTGTTTTATCTACAGTGCCCACAGAAGGTTCCTATTTCACCAGTTCCAGAGTGGGAGGCAAACGAGGAATTATCAAGCAACTTGCTGTCACGTTGCAAGGACCAGAAGATAATACTCTACTGTTTGAATCAAGGTTTGAGAGTGGGAATCTGCAAAAAGCTGTCAGAGTGTAAGTAACCGTTTCCCAAAAGGATAATGATTGGAGTGACTAAAAGGTAGCCTCCAGGAATGATATTAGGAATCAGGAGTATTTGCAAAAAAGAAAGAAGTGATGGGATATGGTTATGAAGATGAAGAAAAATTGAGTAATTATGACTCATGTTTTTTCCCCAAAATATTTTCTTTTTTTTTTTTTTTTTTTTTATTTTTTTTGAGACGGAGTTTCGCTCTTGTTACCCAGGCTGGAGTGCAATGGCGCGATCTCGGCTCACCGCAACCTCCGCCTCCTGGGTTCAGGCAATTCTCCTGCCTCAGCCTCCTGAGTAGCTGGGATTACAGGCACACGCCACCATGCCCAGTTGAATTTTTGTATTTGTAGTAGAGACGGGGTTTCACCATGTTGACCAGGATGGTCTTGATCTCTTGACCTCGTGATCCACCCGCCTCTGCCTCCCAAAGTGCTGGGATTACAGGCTTGAGCCACCGCGCCCGGCCAAAATATTTTCTAAATTATTTGCTTATTAATGAAATGAGAACTCACCTAAAATTTGTATTAGTAAAAATATGTAACATAAAAAGTCTTATAGTAATACTTCCTAGATGCAGCAAAATTATTTTTTTTTTTTTGCTCTTTCACCAGATTGGAGTGCAGTGGCATGATCTTGGCTCACTGCAACCTCCAACTCCCTGGTTCAAGTGATTGTCCCACCTCAGCCTCCCAATTAGCTGGGACTTAACAGGCACGCACAACCACACCCAGCTAATTTTTTTTTTTTTTGAGACAGAGTCTTACTCTATCACCCAGGCTTGAGTGCAGTGGTGCAATCTGGGCTCACTGCAACCTCCGCCTCCCAGGTTCAAGCAATTCTTCTGCCTCAGCCTCCGGAGTAGCTGGGATTACAGGTGCCTGCCACCACACCCGGATAATTTTTTTTTGTATTTTTAGTAGAGACAGGGTTTCACCACATTGGCCAGGCTGGTCTGGAACTCCTCACCTTGTGATCCACCCACCTCAGCCTCTCACATTGCTGGGATTACAGACGTGAGCCACCGAGCCTGACCTAATTTTTGTATTTTTAGCAGGGACGGGGTTTCATCATGTTGACCAGGCTGGTCTCAATCTCCTGGCCTTGTGATCCACTCACCTTGGCCTCCCAAAGTTCTGGGATAACAGGCGTCAGCAAGCTCACCTGGCCAGATGCAGCAAATACTAAGTTTGGTATATATGCCTTAATTTTTTCCTGTGTGTGTTTGTGTAATATATATAAATCATATATTTTTTAAAGTAAAAATTGGTTAATGGGGTAAGTACATATCATTTTGCAAATTGTCAGATTGTTTTTTTTTTTCCACTTCATAAATTTCAGGTGTTTTTCTATGGCAGTACCACAAGTATACCTCCTTATTTATTTTATTTGTTTTTAGTGACAGTGTCTCACTATGTTGCCCATGCTAGAGTTCACTGGCTATTCACAGATACAATCATTGTACACTACAGCCTCAAACTCCTGATCTCACATGATCTTCCCACCTGAGTCTCAGGAGTAACTGGGACTTCAGGGGTGTGTCACCATACTGGCTTACCTCCTGTTTGTTGTTTGTTTGTTTGAGACAGAGTTTCGCTCTTGTTGCCCAAGCTGGAGTGCAATAGTGTGGTCTCGGCTCACTGCAACATCGGTCTCCAGGGTTCAAGTGATTCTCCTGCCTCAGCCTCCCGAGTAGCTGGGATTATAGGTGCCCACACCAAGCCTGGCTAATTTTTTTTTTTTTTTTTTTGTATTTTTAGTAGTGACAGGGTTTCCGTATGTCAGCCAGGCTGGTCTTGAATTCCTGACCTCAGGTGATCTGCCAACCTCAGTCTCCCAAAGTGCTGGGAATACAGAGAATAAATGATTAACGCAGCAGGTTTTTCTGTTGTAATAAGACCTGTTTTTACCAGGAGAAAACAGCATTTTCCCAATTTGTTTTTTAAGGCAGGGTGTAAGGTTACTGAATTGTTCTATTTTCTCCATTACAGAGACACCTATGAGTATGAACTTACCTTGCGAACCGACCTCTACACAAACAAACACACTCAGTGGTTTTATTTTCGTGTTCAGAACACCAGAAAAGACGCCACCTATCGCTTCACCATTGTCAACTTGCTAAAACCCAAGAGTCTTTATACTGTAGGAATGAAGCCACTCTTGTATTCCCAATTCGATGCCAACACCCGCAATATTGGCTGGAGGAGAGAAGGAAATGACATCAAGTACTACAAAAACAACACGGATGATGGGCAGCAGCCCTTCTACTGTCTCACATGGACCATTCAGTTTCCATATGACCAGGACACTTGCTTCTTTGCACACTTCTACCCATATACATACACTGATTTGCAATGCTACCTCCTGTCAGTGGCAAACAACCCCATCCAGTCCCAGTTCTGCAAGCTCCGAACTTTATGCAGGAGCCTAGCAGGAAATACCGTTTACCTGCTCACCATCACCAACCCATCCCAGACCCCTCAAGAGGCAGCTGCAAAAAAAGCTGTAGTCTTGAGTGCCAGAGTCCACCCTGGGGAAAGTAATGGCTCCTGGGTTATGAAAGGCTTTTTGGACTTCATCCTTAGCAACTCCCCAGATGCCCAGCTCCTCAGAGATATTTTTGTCTTCAAGGTGCTTCCCATGTTAAATCCAGATGGTGTGATTGTGGGGAATTATCGGTGCTCCTTGGCTGGAAGGGATTTGAACAGACATTATAAAACCATTCTGAAGGAGTCTTTCCCTTGTATTTGGTACACCAGGAACATGATCAAAAGGTGAGACTTTTTTTCTTTTTTCTTCTCAAAAGGTGAGACTTCTTATCTGTTGATCTTTCTGTAACTGTTATGAGTACTAGCACTGGATATCCCTACCTGATGGGGTATGAGGTCTCTTCTGTTGTTATAGGAATGGAGTATGACTTTGGAGACAGAGCCCTTACCAGTCTCTTTGTAGTCAAGTGACTCTTAATTTTCAGACTTTTAAATCGTGTCTCATCTTTAGGTTGAAATTGGGCATGGAACATTTCAGCAAGAGTCATTTCACTTGTAAGTGAAATAATTGAATGGAAACAGTCAGAGGTCAGGGGAGTTCTTAGGTCTTCATGATGAGATTTGTGTAGTATTAATAGTACTAAAAATTAGTAAGTGCATACACATGAAGGGGCAAGGTGTATGCTAGGTACATTACACACATGACTCATTTAATCTTCACATTAACCCTGTGAGGTAGGCACAGTCAATACCACATGTTGTATGATAAAGAAATTGAGAACCGAGGCCAGGCGTGGTGGCCCACACCTGTAATCCGAGCACTTTGGGAGGCTGTGGTGGGTGGATCACCTGGGGTCAGGAGTTCGAGACCAGCCTGGCTAACATGGCAAAACTCAGCCTCTACTAAGAATATATAAATTAGCCGGGCGTGCCGGTAATTAGTGGGGTGCCAGTAATCCTAACTACTAAAGAGGCTGAGGCGGGAGAATCACTTGAACCGGGGAGGTAAGGGTTACAGCGAGCGGAGATTGCACCACTGCACTTCAGCCTGGGTGACAGAGTGAGACTCTGTCTCAAAAAAAAAATTGAGAACTGGATAGTTTAAGTAACTTGCCTAAAGTCATAATGCTAGTAAGAGTAGATATTTAAATACAGGCTCTCTGGTTCCAGAGTCTAAATTCCTTTTACCATCTTATATTGCCTATCACAAAGAAAGAATCATAAAATCAGTCAGCAGTTTTCAAGCCTGTACAAAAGCATTGAAGTCTATAATGTAATAGTGCCCACATTGAAGGAGCTTTCATCCCACTGGAAATGAAAATACAGCATATAAGAATATGTGAGGCCGGGCGCGGTGGCTCACGCCTGTAATCCCAGCACTTTGGAAGGCCGAGCCGGGTGGATCACGAGGTCAAGAGATCAAGACCATCCTTGTCAAAATGGTGAAACCCCGTCTCTACTAAAAATACAAAAATTAGCTGGGCATGGTGGCGCGTGCCTGTAATCCCAGCTACTCAGGAGGCTGAGGCAGGAGAATTGCCTGAACCCAGGAGGTGGAGGTTGCGGTGAGCCGAGATTGCGCCATTGCACTCCAACCTGGGTAACAAGAGCGAAACTCCGACTCAAAAAAAAAAAAAAAAGAATATGTGAGCCCGGCATGGTGGCTCACACTGGTAATCCCAGCACTTTGGGAGGACAAGGTGGGCAGATCACCTGAGATCTGGAGTTCAAGACCAGCCTAGCCAACATGGTGAAACCCTGTCTCTACTAAAAATACAAAAATTAGCCAGGCATGGTAGTGGGTGCCTGTAATCCCAGCTACTTGCGAGGCTGAGGCAGGAGACTCACTTGAACCTGGGAGGCAGACGTTGCAGTGAGCTGAGATCACGCCATGGCAGGCATGATAGCTAAGAGCACATGTTTCAGAGTCAGGCCTGAGTTTGAGACTGCTGTTTTTACTGCTTTGAGACTTCCGTTTTTACTGTTTTTACTTTTGTTTTTACAGCTTGAGACTTTTGTTTTTACTGCTGGTTGGTTCTATGACCTTGGCTAAGTGATTTAATGTGTTTGAGCTTCAGCTTTCCTATCTGTAGAATGGGAATAATACCTGCCTTAGGTGGTAACTGTGAGGATTGAGATAATCACAAGATCTATTTACTGTTGTATGCGGCACGTTATAAATGTGTAGCATTGTTGTTATTATACTCATCATGGAGAAAGTGAACATGTTTAGAAAGTTGGAATAGGTGTCCTAGGTGATCATGAGACAAGAGCTGAGCCTTGTAGGAATGAGCCCTCAAAAGTCAGGAACCATGGCTTTCTTTGGTTCTTTTTCTTTCCTGCAACTGCCCACTCTTTGTCTCCTTCTCTTTCTTCACAGGTCTGCACCATGGTGAGCTTTTTCTCAATAGGTTTTTTTCCACTTCCTTGTCAACTTACACAAGGCTACCCACCACCCCCTTCCACATCAGAAATTGCCATTTCTGGTCAGGCACAGTGACTCATGCCTGTAATCCCAGCACTTTGAGAGGCTGAGGCGGGAGGATCACTTGAGCCCAGGGGCTGGAGACCAACCTGGGGAACATAGTGAGACCTGTGTATTAGGTTGTACTTGCATTGTTATAAAGAAATACCTGGCTGGGCATGGTGGTTCATGTCTGTAATCCAAGCACTTTGGGAGGCTAAGGCAGGTGAATCACTTGAGGTCAGGAGTAGCTGGGACTAGAGGCACACGCCAGTACACCAAGCTTTCTTTTTTGTTATTGCTGTTGTGGGTTTTTGTTTTTTGTTTTTTGGTTTTTTTTGAGACAGAGTTTCGCTGTTGTTACCCAGGCTGGAGTGCAGTGGCGCAATCTCGGCTCACCGCAACCTCCATCTCCTGGGTTCAAGCAGTTCTCCTGCCTCAGCCTCCCGAGTAGCTGGGACTACAGGTGTGCGCCACCATGCCCAGCTAATTTTTTTTTTTTTTTTTTTTTTGAGACGGAGTTTCGCTCTTGTTACCCAGGCTGGAGTGCAATGGCGCGATCTCGGCTCACCGCAACCTCCGCCTCCCGGGTTCAGGCAATTCTCCTGCCCCAGCCTCCTGAGTCACTGGGATTACAGGCACACGCCACCATGCCCAGCTAATTTTTTGTATTTTTAGTAGAGACGGGGTTTCACCATGTTGACCAGGATGGTCTCGATCTCTTGACCTCGTGATCCACCCGCCTCGGCCTCCCACAGTGCTGGGATTAAATTTTTGTATTTTTAGTAGAGACGGGGTTTCACCATGTTGACCAGGATGGTCTCAATCTCTTGACCTTGTGATCCACCCGTCTTGGCCTCCCAAAGTGCTAGGATTACAGGCGTGAGCTGCCGTACCCGGCCGTTGTTTTTTTTTTTTTTTTTTTTGTAGAGACAGGGTGATATAGTTTGGGTATTTTTCCCTGTCCAAATCTCAGATTGAGATATAATCCCCTCTGGGGTCTACCAAGAGGTATTTGGATAGTGGGGGTGGGCGGATGACTTGAGCCCAGGAGGTTAAGGCTAAGTGAGGCAGTCAGGCCACTACACTCCAGCCTGAGCAACAGAGCAAGACCTTGTCTCAAAAAAGAAAAAAAAAAATTTTTCATTTCAAGTCCTCTGACTGACAAGGCAGGCTGGTGACATGTTTTCTGCAATGGCTGAGAATGGAGATAGGGTCCATTGAAGACCATTGGAGTTGAGATTTTCTTAGGAGGGAAGGTATCAACAACTGTCCTCACAGCAGAGATGCCAAATGATCCTTAATTATTTGTGTGCATTTGGGTGTCTACTAAGTCATTTGTTTGCCCCCTCAATAGACTTCTTGAAGAAAGAGAGGTTCTGTTGTATTGTGATTTCCATGGCCACAGTCGTAAGAATAATATCTTCCTGTATGGCTGTAATAACAACAATCACAAGTACTGGCTTCATGAACGAGTTTTTCCTTTAATGTTAAGCAAAAATGCACCAGATAAGGTAAGCACATAATGTAATTTTCTGTTCATTGAGTTAGGGAAAAGGGAACTCACTACTTCCTATATGTAGTGTTTTATTTGGCACTTTGTATCTTTTTTATTATCTTTGGTAAATCCCAGCAACCTAGACTTCAAGAATTTAGAAAAGCATGTTTTGTTTTGTTTTGACATGGAGTCACGTTCTGTTGTCCAGGCTGGAGTGCAATGGCAAGATAGCTCACTGCAACTTCCGCCTCCTGGGTTCAAGCTAGTCTTCTGCCTCAGCCTCTCCAGTAGCTGGGATTACAGGTGCATACCATCATGCCCGGCTAATTTTGTATTTTTAGTAGAGATGGGGTTTCACCGTGTTGGTCAAGCTGGTCTCGAACTCCTGACCTCTTGATCCACCCACTTCTGCCTCCCAAAGTGCTGGGATTACAAGCGTGAACTACCATGCCTGGTGAAAAGCGTGGTTTTAAGAATTGCTGTGGGCCGGGCATGGTGGCTCAAGCCTGTAATCCCAGCATTTTGGGAGGCCGAGGCGGGTGGATCACGAGGTCAAGAGATCAAGACCATCCTGGTCAACATGGTGAAACCCCGTCTCTACTAAAAATACAAAACATTAGCTGGTCATGGTGGCGCGTGCCTGTAATCCCAGCTACTCAGGAGGCTGAGGCAGGAGAATTGCTTGAACCCAGGAGGTGGAGGTAGCAGTGAGCCGAGATCGCGCCATTGCACTCCAGCCTGGGTAATAAGAGTGAAACTCCGTCTCAAAAAAAAAAAAAAAAAAAA